TTATTCTTCTTATTCACAGTCTTCGTCTTCTTCGAAACTTCTTGTTTTTAAGCTGCTTCAGGTTCTCTCTTTTTCTTCATAGTCTTCTTCTTCTTATTCCATTTCTTCTTTGTAGTGTTGATATTCTTCTTGTTCGCAGTCTTCTTCTTCGAAACTTCTTGTTTGTAAGTTGTTTCTTTCTTCTTCATAGTCGTCATTCTTCTTTTTTGTTGTCATCTTGTAGTTTTTTTTCTTTTTTGTTTTTTTTTTTCCTCATTGTAGTCTTCTTATTCGTATTCCTTATTCTTCTTCTTCTTCTTCTTCATATTATTTTTCTTCATAACATTTTTCTCATTATTTTTCTTTTTCGTAATCATCTTAACCGTCTTTCATCGTCGTAGTCTTCTCCTTCGTAGTCATCGTCTTCTTATTTTTCTTCTTCAAGAACTCCTTCTTCTCCATAATCTAGTAGTCTTTTTTTTTTCATAGTCATTTTTTTCTTTGTAATGTTCTTATTCTTCTTGGAAGCGTTTTTCTTCTTTTTTTTTTGTAATGTTCTTGTTAGTAGTGTTCATGTTCTTCTTCTTCATAGTTGTCTTCTTGTTCCTTATCTTCTTTATAGTAGTAGTTATCTTCTTTGTAGTGGTTTGATAAAGTGATGGATATAGAGGGTATTTTTGATAAAGAGATGAACATAGAGGGTCATTATGATAAAGAGATGAACATGGAATACTAAAATATGCAATACTGGTATATAATACTCGGGAATGACCATTATACCAAAAAGAAGCCATTGATTGCCATTCGACAAATGGAAAATCATTTTGTTTCAAGTAGTTTTTCTTTTTTCCAAGGTACCTGGGTTGGGAAGAAGTTAGTATTGAATATTTCCATATCTTTACGATCCCACCAAAGTAATTAAAGGAAAACTTACCTGTAAAAAGGCTACCAGAAGGAGATAAATTGCCTTGACACCCGTAGAAATTAGAAAGAAGGCAGCATTTCAACATCATTTGTATGAAACTATGACTTTTAATTTGAACAATTTGATAACCACTGAAGCCTACAACACACATTTCATAAGCACTAATTTGCCCAATCTTTGAAAGTCAACAGCCATTGGCTTGCTAAACAAACATGGAACATAGACAGTCCATATCTGTTAAAGGAGTTTGTCATACCTGAAATTGTGTTCATTGCTCCAACCATAACTTGCCCTCCTAAACCAGCAGAAAGAGCAACCCCTTGGCTTACAGCAACTTTCTCTTTGCCACTCCCTCAACGACTGCCAGGTTATCAAGACTTCAAACACTTGAAATAATTGTGAGTAAAAGGAGATACTCAAATTAAGAGTAAAACCCCGTATATATAGGCAAAATATAAAAATCATAGTAAGGGTAAAAAAGGGAAAAAAAATCCTAAAGGGAAAAGAAATCCTAATAAACCTAGGAAAAGAAATCCTAATAAACCTAGACTATCTATACTCCAACACTCCCCCTCAAGCTAGGCGCAAAAATGTCAACTAAGCCAAGCTTGACTACGGAGTCCCGAAGAACAGAAAGAGTGACAGGTTTGGTAAAAACATCCGCAACTTGATCACTGGTCCCCACAAACGATGGAGTAACAAGACCACTGCTGACCTTCTCCCGAAGAAAGTGAACATCGATCTCTATATGCTTCGTTCTCTCATGTAGTACAGAGTCAGAAGCGAGCTGAATAGCAGATTGATTATCACAATATAATGTGGATGGAGAGGTCACTGAAAAACCCAACTCGTCAAGAATCGATCGTAGCCAGATAATCTCACATGTGCCAAGTGCCAATGCCCGATACTCTGCCTCTGCGGACGAGCGGGAGACAACTGTCTGCTTCTTGCTCTTCCAAGAGATAAGATGAGTCCCTCGAAAAGCACAGAAACCCGTAGTAGATCGACCATCACATGCTCCCCCATAATCTGAATCTGAATAACAGGCTAGAGAACCGGTCTGAGATCCTGATGCATAAAACAACCCAAGTCCAGGACAAGACTTGAGGTACCGAAGAATATGATAAACTGCATCAAGATGAGTCTGACATGGCCTATGCATGAACTGACTAACTCGGCTGACTGCGAATGAAATGTCCGGCCTAGTATTGGCTAAGTAGATAAGTCTACCTACCAATCTTTGATAAACTGTCGGATCTTTCAACTCCTCACCTTCAGCAGTAAGCTTCAGGTTTGGAATCATACGTGATAATGCCGGTTTGCACCCCAACATCCCAGTGTCTGAAAGAAGATCCAAAACATACTTTCTCTGAGAAAGAACAATACCTCTGCTTCTACGGGCAACCTCAATCGTATGACTACATCACTGAAGCGAGAGAACCAGGCTCGTGGCGACTGTTTCAGTCCATAAAGAGACTTACGCAGTCGACATACCTTTCCAGCATACTCCCCCTCACCACGAAAGCCCGGTGGTGCATCCATATAAATAATCTCGTCCAGATCACCGTGAAGAAATGCATTCTTCACATCTAATTGATGAAGAGGCCAAGAGTACTCCGCAGCCAGAGAAATAATTAACTGAACAGTAGTCAATTTTGCCACGGGGGCAAATGTAGCACCAAAATCACGACCTGGTACCTGAGTAAAGCCCTTCGCCATAGTATAAGCTCGAAATGTGGGAGACAGATTACCATAAGAAACATAAGCAGAGATCGGATATAAAATCTTTGCGGTCCAACCATATCAATCAACTGGACGGCGATCATGTTGCGAGAAGGTGGCTTAAGCTCTGGATGGAGCTTCCAGCAAATAGCTTCCACGGGTGAAACGCAATAGCAAAGTTTCACTATCAACAAAAGGAGATTACACAAAATTCTCTAATCTAGAGAATAAAACCAAACATGGATGCCCAAAATTGGGGGCCAAAAACTCCCCGTCCTGACTGAGAATACATCTCTGATAATGCGCTCCATAGCTTCGGAACAGAGCTATGAAACTGGTGGATCTTGCAAACAGAGGGCTCCATTGAGCCAAATAACCATCCAAGAATGACACAGTTTTCAGAGAACCATGCAGAATATCCAGGGTCGGCATCAGCTAGCTTTGGGTGAGATCCCGTCAGCCAACCAAGCTTCCCTACACGGCCTAAGAAAAGCTGGAATGAGCGTGACCACTCAGCGAAGTTACGACCATTCAACAATTGTGCCGTAACTTTTTGAGAGATCATGCCCGGTAATGCTGGTAATGCAACTGTGCTAGTAGGCACTGTATACTGGTCAAACATAAAAGTGGAAGTACCCATAGATGTCTCAACGGTAGAGGTGTCAACAGTAGGGTTCTCAAATCCCTCAGTAGTAGTCATATCAACAACAATACTGGGGCACCCGTGACAGAAAAATAACTCTAAGATAAATAGAGGAATAAAATAAGGGAGAACAATATACCTTCAGTCGAACAGTAGCGACAAATAGGGAAGGTCCAAAAAGCTCTCAAATAACTCTAAGATAAATAGAGGAATAAAATAAGGGAGAACAATATACCTTCAGTCGAACAGTAGCGACAAATAGGGAAGGTCCAAAAAGCTCCCAAATAACTCTAAGATAAATAGAGGAATAAAATAAGGGAGAACAATATACCTTCAGTCGAACAGTAGCGACAAATAGGGAAGGTCCAAAAAGCTCCCAAATAATCAAGTCACGGTGCCCAGAAATCCAAAATATATAAATAAGTGATCTACTGCATCAAGGGCAGATCAACAGAATGTACAAGACTAAGGCCTAAAATTGAACGGAAGAGATTGGGCAAAAACGAGGGTCAAGACGAAGCGACGGCTTGATCAAGGCGGACAGCGACGGCGCCGTCACTTTAACCTCTCCTATTCAACTTTCAGGCAGTTGATGGCCAGGGTGGTTTCGGCGGTATGACTGGTAGAGCCATACACTAACCCTACCCCAAAACCTAACCTTGCTCTGATACCAACTTGAAATAATTGTGAGTAAAAGGAGATACTCAAATTAAGAGTAAAACCCCGTATATATAGGCAAAATATAAAAATCATAGTAAGGGTAAAAAAGGGAAAAGAAATCCTAAAGGGAAAAGAAATCCTAATAAACCTAGGAAAAGAAATCCTAATAAACCTAGACTATCTATACTCCAACACAAACCATTTCCTAGAAATAACAAGCTGTAGAAAAACATATTTTGTCAAAGCTTAATAGCTTGACAGTCTCCAATCATTCCATATATAAGTAGCGGTAATAATGTTTGACACAGATGCATGTATGTCAAACCAACACACCTATGCACTCCTAGATTCATGTAAGGCAAGCCACAATGTCACATTATGAGGTAAAGAAAAAAAAAGCAGAAAGATATTATGTGCATAAGCAACATAGGTACAGAAGGATAGTATCTATAGATGACCAAAAAAAAAGGCGAGATATTCATGACTAAGTCAAATGAAAAATATAATCATGCTAATTTTTGTTGAAGATCAACTTACAAGGGTTGAGGTCCCTTGAAATATACGCCGAACGGCAGAAGACCACCGAGTATTCCACATGTATGGCTCATCCATTACTTGAAGAGCAATTGCAACCATGCTCCCCACATTATTCAAGCTAGTGGCTAGTGGAAACTGACTTTATCGGGGACAAAGTTTGCTGTATTGGAGGTGCTAGCCCACAGAAAGCAACATAGGAACACAAGTTGCAAAATAACTGACCATATTTTGACCACTGCAGGAAGTAGAGGCTCAAGTAAATAAGCTCCACTCTTGCAAATTTCCAAGTTTCTTTAGTTAGGAAAGCTCTGTACAATTGATGAATGGTGCAGAAATCCATCAACAGAAAGCACAATTTATAAGAAAAATAACTTCACAGGATAAATTGTATTAAATCAAACCAAGACATGACATTTGGCAATAACAGTGGATTCCTGCCTTCCACTTTAAGACTTTGCACCAAGACTACATCTGAGTACAAAGATAGCAAACGATAGCCTCACCTCAATTTAGTGCCACTAAGCCTGGTCGCAACTAAATGAAAGCCTGCAGGAAGTGTATAGAAATGTGATTGAATCATTGAACCGGTGAGCATTCACTTACTAGAATGAAGCTTGATAATATCATATACTATTCAAAAGTTATGAGCTAGAACATACCTCAGTCCTGTCGTGGCTTCTGGGTGCCAGGGTTTTACTTTCAGCAGATCCAACATTGGAGAGCTTACTCAAGTAACTTTGATTCATCTGAACAATAGCTTCACGATAGGATTCATTTAAACTCACCATGCGAGAAACAACATGAAGAAGCTGCAATAACTCCACAAATAAAATGTTAAGAAACCTTGTGACAGATTTGATTTACGCCTTAGCCATTTGAAGGATAAATTCAACTAAAGAAACTTCCAAACCTTAGCAGAAACATACAATCACATTGAATACATGCTTGAGAAATATATGTTCATACTCAGAATCGCAATAAGCCAGGAGTTGAAGCGTCACCCTCTTATAGACTATCAATAAAGAGAGGCAATATCATATCCACCACTTCAGGCTTCTTGACAGAAACATTCAGATCATCTAGCACTGCACAATAAGAATGGGCTTCTTTGCTTTTTCTTTCTGTAATTGAATGAGAATACACAGAAGGTCAATATAAAAGAAACTAAGGTATCTGTTATTTATATATACTATTCACGTTATAAATATCTTAACACAATCAATCTCATTTGATGTGATTTCAATCCAAAATGCTGGCAACAAACTTTGAACCTATCCACCAATTTGTTGAGGGTTCAACAATCACAGATTACATTGTACTTAAAGAGCATTTGTCCAATCTCAATTTACTTCACATTACCTTGTGGGTAAGAAGCTAATATCGTTACAACAAAGATCAAAGATCTGGAGGAGGAAGCAAACAATGAGCCTCTAGTCTGGACAAAACATGCAATACTGGTATATAAAGCTCGGTAATCACCATTATACCGAAAAGAACCTATTGATTGCCATTCGACAAATGGCAAGTCATTTTGTTTCAAAAAGTTTTTCCTTTTCTCCAGGTATGTCCTAACCACCGGACGAAAGGGGCCAAAAAGCCATTCTTCATATACCTCAGCTCCGAGAACCACCAAAGTGAAGTAAATTTTACTGCAATTAAAGAAAAACTTATCTGCAAAAAGGCTACCGCAAGGAGATAAGTGGCCTTGACACCGTTGGAGGCATTTCAACATTATTTGCATAAAACTATGACTTCTAAGTTGAACAATTCTATAAGCACTGCAGTCTACAATGCACATTCCATAACCACTAATGTTCTCAATCTTTGAAGCCAGCAACCACCGTCTTGCAAAACAAACATGAAACATAGAGAATCCATATCTGTTTCATAAGTAAATACTAAGGAGTTTGCCATACCTGAAATTGTGTTCATTGCTCCAACCACAACTTGCCCTCCTAAACCAGCAAAAAGAGCAACTCCTTGGCTTACAGCAGCTTTCTCATTGCCACTCTCTTAGCGACTGCCAGTGTTATCAAGAGCATTAAGTTCCAACTCAACTTCATGATATTCCCATAAATAAGAACCTGGAGAAAAACATTTTGTGTCAAAGCTTAATAGCTTGACCATCTCCCAATCATTCCACATATAAATAGCGAGAATAATATTCAACACAGCTGCATTTATGTCAGATGCGACATGCCTGTGCACTCCTAGATTCATGTAAGACAAGCCACAAACATGTGACATTATGAGGTAAAGAAAAAAAAGCAAAAAAACAATATGTGCATCACAGGTTAAGCATGTACTAGACACTTCAAAATAGATAACTAATACAGAAGCATAGCATCAATAGATGACCCAAAAAAAAAAGGAGAGATATTCATGATTAAGTCAAATGGAAAATAGAATCATGTTAATTTTTGTTGAAGGCAAACTTACCAAGGTTGGGGTTCCTTGAGATACGCTGTACGGCAGAAGGCCACCAAGTATTTCACATGTATGGCCCATCCACTGCTTGAAGAACAATTGGACTCATGCTCCCCACATAATTCAAACTAGTGGAAACTGACTTTATCAGGGACAGTTTCTTGGGTGCTAATCCACAAAAAGCAACATAGGAACACAAGTTGCGAAATAACTTCAAAGGAAAAGGGTCAACGTCAACAATAGGACCAAAGAAAAACTTTACATATTTCAACCACAGCAGGAAGTAGAGGCTTAAGAAAATATGCTCCACTCTTGCTAATTTCCAAATTAATTTAGTTAGGAAAAGCTCTGTACAATTGATGACCGGTGCAGAAATCCACTAAAAGAGATCACAATTTATAAGAAAAACCACTTCAGAAGATAAATGCAATTAAATCAAACCATGACATGACATTAAGCAATACCAGTGGATTCCTATCTTTCTAGTCTTTGCAGTCAAGCCTACATCTGAGCACAAAGATAGAAAACTATGCCGATAGCCCCACCTCAATTTAGTGCCGCTAAGACTGGTCACAATGAAATGAAAGCCTGCAGGAAGTGTACAGAAATGTGATTCAATCATTGAACCGGTGAACAATCACTTACTAGAATGCAGTCTGATAATATCACTTCCTATTCAAAAGTTATAAGCTAGAGCATACCTCAACACATTCTGGATTTTTAAAAAGTCTAAAATCACTGTGCAAGAAACAACATCAAGAAGCTGCCATAACTCCTCAAAGAAATGTTAAGAAACCATGCGACAGATTTGATTTAAGCCTTAGCCATTTGAATGAAATATTCAATTGAAGAAACTTTCAAACCTTATCAAAAAACATATAATTACATTAAATACATGCTTGAGAAAGATATGTTCATACTCAAAATAAGCCAGGAGTTGAAGCGTCAACCTCTTATAGACTTTCAATAAAGAGTGGCAATGTCATATCCACCACTTCGGGCTTTTTGACAGAAACATTCAGATCAACTAGCATGCGTGTCACACCCCAACTCCAAGGGCATGACCGGCCGTGAACTATTGATCCATAACCTATGGAACACATAACCCTAACAATAAACTAATAATATAGGAGCGAAAAACAACATTAACACTAAATTGATCTCATGTCAATATATCAAAGTCAACATACCTAAACTTGTTGTCCCAATTATCCAAACAAGTAAAGATGGTTATACGATATATGCTACGGAGGTCACAACACTATTAGTCCCCAATCAATTTCCTAAGTCCGCTATTGCCACTCCAATCATTTACCTAAAAAATTATTATTTTAAAAACATGAGCTAAAAAGCCCAGTGAATGGAAAGTCATGCATATTCAAAGTGGCTTAAAATCATATTTGACATATGACATGTAAATCAAAGGTTTGAAAAAATAATTTTATCAAGATAACTAATTACTCAAGAATAACACAATCGGATTCCAACAAGAAATCATACCACAATGGTGAATCATATCATAATGATGGAGACCATACGATATCCAATAATCGATGGGAACCAAATATCAAATACAATAACTGATAACAAAAAGATACATATAAAAACGTTGTGACAACAACAAATTATATCATCTCATACTGGTAAGGACTTGTTCGATATCTGAAAACCATACCAAATGCCAAAAGATCACCACGGGTTGCCGCCTGGGAACTGTCCCTTAAGACGATCCGGTGAAGGTTACCAGGACGCACCAGAAACTGTTCCTTCAACCGTTGAGCACTAGGGTCACCTTAACCTCCCCTGGGTCTATTCCCTAGTGGCCAGGGTCACCCGCACATAGAGGAATAATTTCTCTGGACTTTTAACCAAATGTCAGAATATATCTCAGGGTTAGATCCAAAATCGTACTTAGGGTCACCACAGCCTCTCCCGGGTCTGTTCCCCGGTGAAGGTCACCAGGATTGCATCAGGCACTGTTCCTTTAACCGTTGAGCACTAGGGTCACCTCAGCCTCACCCGAGTCTGTTCCCTAGTGACCAGAGTCACTCGCATACCAAGGAATAATTTCCCCAGACTTTCAATCATGGTCTCATTCACTATCACAAAGTCTCACCATATAAACAAGTGATTGAGTCATAATACTTTACAAAAGTATTTATTAAGGTAAGGAGAATCATATGCCACAAGTATTTAGACACTTAATAAAACATTTTGTAAAGGTAGTAATGAACATGCATTATGTATCATTTTTAAAATATTTAGGGATACGAGCAAAATACGTAGCATGCCAATCCACTCACCTCTAGTCCAAGCAATATGCTTCTTGAGTGTTTCTTGTTACCCGAAGTAGAGTGAGATGTTATTGATGCCTTTCCTCTTTTTCTCACAATTTCCTTTCTCCTTTGATGAGGTATTCTTCCTTCTTTCTTCTCTCTTTTACTCTCTATTCTTTCTTGAAAGTGGAAGACTACTTGTGCACTTGTATCCTTAATCCAACCCCCAAATGCCCTATTTATAAGCATCCTAAGATTATTCTAGAGAATATTAACATGTGACATTTTTAGGGGAGATTCTCTGGAATATTCTACTATCTCCCCTCTTCTAGATCCTTCTAGGTTTACAACTTATTTTGCACATGGCAATTCCACAAGTATCTAGATACATCTATAATATTCTAAAGTCTTCTCCAACCTTCTAAATTCTTCCGAAACTTTTTGGAATATTCTAAATCCCTCTAAAACTTTCTAGTATTTGCTAGAACCTTCTAAAATATTCTAGACTTCTCTAGATTGTTCTAAAACTTTCCGAATTCTTTTAAAAACTTCTTCAACATTCTAGATTGTTCTAGACTATTCTACATTTTTCTAGAAACTTCTCCAATATTTTAGATTATTCTAGACTATTCTAAATTCTTTTTTAAAATTTTTCTTATTCCTTACAAGATAATATTTCTAACTAGTTTCTTGCCAAATTGGAACGGGGTATTATAATGCGTATAACATTAAGCTGCACAATAAGATCAGACTACTTCGCTTTCTCTTCTTGTAATTGAATGGGAATATAAGAATACACCGAAGGTCAATATAAACTAAACTAAGGTATTTGTTATTTATATATACTATTCAAGTTTTAAATACCCTAACCCAGTCAATCTTATTTGATGTGATTTCAATCCCAAACACGGGCAACAAACCTTGAACCTATCCACAAAGGTGTCTCTTAAATCAGTAAATCCCATATATCTGCTAGAATGAAGTCTTTCCACAATTTTGCATCTAAGTGCTATTTTTAGAAGTTATAAGACATTCTTTAAATTGTTGACCTAAGCCGTCCGAATTATGACTCTCATTTCCTATAGTGACACAAAGTTGCATCCAATTTGCCAAGCTTTTGCACATCCAAATACCCACCAGCATTAGTATTCACCTGATTATATCCAAGAAAGACTGAAAAACAAGAGACGCCAAACACTCATACCACACAAGAATAAAGCAAATTAATGCATGATGCTAGTCATGGGCCTTTTATCCATGTTGATCGTAAAACAGTTTGTTTTTAGATCAATGAAATCATTGACTTGAAGGATTTTACACTGTTCACCAGAAGAAAAAAAAAATGATATCCTTTTCTGGCAAAAAACCCGAATGTGCAAATTACTATTGTAAATTGTAGAAATCACCACCTGATTCATTGCAAGGATAAATCAAGTAAATCCACCACAAACATGAGAAAATAAGGTACTAAGAGATCCTACTGCCAATTAACTAAACCAACTTTTGGATGACTACACTAAATGAAATGACTGGTAACCTTTAATTCACAATCAGATACCTAATTAAACTTACATCTGCATAGGAATATGTATGGAACAGCAAACCAAACATGTAACAGTCTGAACTAATAGCTATTTAAGAAAAGGGAGGACTGACAGAATGATATGTAAAAGCAACAATATTTCTGCAATTATTAACCATCAGGTATTGACTTGAGAAAAGCAAAGCATACCTGCCATTGGCAATTTTGACATATTACAAATAATTTGAAATTTAGTTTCGTAGTCTCATCTTTGTTTATTATCATCATCCTTTTGACCCTTCATTTAATTGCAAAAGTTTGATGTTGGGATGAAAAAGCTTCTTTAACACTGCATCAGCACAGAAGTATTGTCCAAAAATGAATTTCATCCCCAACCAATTTATCCAACAGTCCATCAGAGAGACACAATGAATTCTATCTAAAATGTGTAAGGTCATAGCAGCAATAGAACGGCTGTTGGCTAATTGGCTTAGCACCTAACAACACAAAAAATTTATTACACTTACTAACAAAATTTACCCCATGGTCCTATATGCTCATTATTCCTTACCGAGCAGCATATGCTGATGGTTGTAACAACAATCTCAATTTTGGATGATTTGAGCGGATGCTACCAAATTTTCTTGCAATGATCATCACAGCAAGATGGGTTGACAATGTTTCTCAATCAAACTGACTGAACTACAGCGTAGCTTGCATTGAATACAATGAATTCAGTAATATTGTTGTAGGAAAAAATGTTGTGCTGCAATGGAAAAATAATTTTCAATTGCGTTACAATTATTGAAACAAAATAATTGAAATAAATTCACAAGGACGAATAGATATGTCAATATTAAATAGTAAACATGTACACAATCAATGAAATAAGAAACACGAATCAACAAGGCATGGAATTTGTGTAAAAAAATTTCCTTGGATTATATCATGTTAGTAGCATTCTTGGGGGTAGAAATTTCTTACCAATCTTTCACTTTATTCTCTAAAAAAATTACACATTGAAAATTACTTTGGAGTTGACGACGTACTTTTGCTGCAACTTCCATGGGGCCTTGGACCGCACCATTCTCACTAAATATGGCTTTTATATTACAATGATGTCGAAAATTGAATATTTGCAAATCTTGAGAACATGGATCTAATAACTTACCTGAAGAAGTAGTGCTTTCGATGCGAACTTTACTTCTTCTAGGATAAATTGATAACAGAAATACATTTTTCATAAATAATATGATGATTAGTCCACAGACCATATAGAACTA